TTGATAAAAGAACACGCCCGCAATTCATAAAAGCACAAATAAATCACTTTGCTGAAGAGCTAAACAAAACTCAAGTTAGAATAAATGAAATAGAAGAAAATGAAAATGAAAATGGTATTAACAACAATATTGATGAATTAACTAATTTACACGAAAGAGCCGAAGAATTAGAAATTATAATTAGAGAAGAAGAAGAACAATTAGAGAAAGAGGATGTACGAGAGGAACAGGAAGAAGACATTACTAGATTACAGCGGTTTAAAGAATGGGTTAAGGAAAGTATCCCAGGATTATCAGCTTTAGCTATATCTATAGGTTCGATAATTACAACCATTGTCATTGCTGCAAGAAAAGCAATCCTACAAAGTGCTCAAGCTACTAGTAAATTTTCTAAGGCTTTAGCAAATATAGGTAAAAAATTATGGCCAGTGTTAGGACCATTATTAAATATTATCGCTCAGGCTATATCTTGGAGAGCTAAAGGTTTAGCATGGTTAGCTTCTAATCTATGGATTTTAGCTATTGCTACTGCTTTTATAATATATGATCAGTATAAACAAAGAAGAAAATAAAATATGTTTTAATATATATGAATAGATTATTACAAGAAGAGCTTTTACCTGGTTATAAAAGGACTGCTATGACAAAAATTAAAGGCAATCGTACTTTTTATAGTATAACCTTTAATCCTAATAGTCTTAAACCGAATGAACAAGTTTATATTAATATTCCGAAATTGAAAGCAAATAGTTGCTTAGTGCCTGGTTCACTTAATCTATCGTTTGATCTTAAAATCAGTAATACAAAAAGTCACTTTATAAATAATCTCAGTCAGATTTTACAACATAGACTACAAATTAAAGTGGCTGGGGAAACCCTTTACGATTGTAGTGAACATAATGTTATAAATGTATACAAAGACTTGTGGATGCCGAAAAGTGATCGACAAGGCCTTATTGAATACGGTATTTGTAGCGAAAATTTACGAAAACTCATTTCGAAAGATGATACTGCTGTAACAAGTGGAAGTCCAGAAAAATTAGCAGACAAATTAATGTATGATATTTATGGTATAAGACAAAAATTAATATTGATAGCATTCTTAAAGACCATGGTCTATATTGCCCTTTTAATATGAATAATAACTTTCAATACATAATAACATTACCACCAAGTGATCAAGTCCTTATCCCCCAAAGCGGTCAAACTATAGGTGATTATGAATTAGAAAATATTATGCTTGAATATGAAACTATTGAGAATCAAGAAATTGCTTATGAGGTGACAAATTTATATTCTATAGGAAGAAGTCTATTTTATGAACATATAACCCTCTTAAAAAAGGGAAAATGGGATAAGTCAAGTACATTACAAAATATAAACGTAAATGTCCCTCGTAAAAGTATGAAAGGCATTGTACTACTATTTACAGAAAATTCAGTTAGTGATAGTGAAAATTTCTATTTCCATTAATCGATAAAATTAAAGTGACAATAGAGGGTGTGCCAAATTGTATTTTCGCCAAGGTATGAATAAAAACAATTTTATGAAGAAGCAAGAAAATTTTTGATAGAACTATTCCGATAGATTGCTTCATGACAATTGAAAAATTTTATAAGGATAAATTTGCATTAGTTATCGATCTACGCACCTTTCAAGAAAAAAATATTGCTGGTAACGGTAAAAAAATCATTAATACTCAAAATGGCGTTTTGCTTGAAATTAAAAAAAGAGCATATACAAAAGATTTAAACTGTTACATCTATGTTATCAGTGATGCTCTTGTTCAATTTATTAATAATGATTTACAAAGTATTCAATACTAGAATAACCAGTAATATATAAATGAACACACCCTTTAATATGATTATTGTAGGCATGACGAATTGTGGTAAGAGTCATTACCTTCTCAAATTAATAGAAAAAAACTTTAATAGACATTTTGATTACATTATTTTAATATGCCCTACGTTATCATATAATAAAACCTATCAAGAATGGAAATATATAAATGATTCTGATTTAATTAAGGTAGAATGTGACCAAGATCAGATAGATATTGTTTTAAAATATGTTAGTGATGTATATAAAGGGACCAATAGTCTTATTATTCTTGATGACTGTGCGAGTTGCTTAGATGTTAAAAATAGGACATCGCAATTAATAAAACTAGGGTTCAGTGCTCGTCATTATGGGCTTTCTACTATTGTGGTGACACAGCAATTGACTAGTATTTCTAAACCATATCGTGAAAATATAAGTTATTTAGTTACATTTTATAATACAAACCGCAATGATATGAAAACCATATTTGATGATTATCTTTATGGTGTTGAGAAAAATTATATAGAAGAAATAACTAAAAAATTGAAAAATAATAAGTATGCACATTTAGAAATTCAACTTGTATACCCATACCAATGGAAAATAGTTATTCCGCAATAAAACATGTGTTAATATATATATGCCAAAGCGTAAAGAGCCTGAAACAATTGATGATATAATTAATGATATTGATTCCGCAAATGATATTATCAAAGATGCTGTATGTGATGATAATATGCAAGATAAATCGCAAGAAAATTTTAATAAAAGAGATCAACTACTTAAACTAGCTGAAGATGGTGATTTAGACAAGTCAGTTTCTTACATTAAAAAAGCCAGTCAAAAAATTATTGATAAATTATACATTGAATACGAAAAAAAACGATTACAAAAAGCTAATGAGTTTTTAACTGATTTAGTTATATCAAAATTTTCAGATATATTAAAAGGGTTTGATGCTATTGAAGATCCTAAAGAATTAACAAAACAGCTTAAATCAGACGACCTTTTAAAACGAGATGTTTATAGTTTAGTAGAAAAAATATCACCCCTATTACCTTTTCTAGGTTTTTTATCTGGTGGTATAACAACCGTTAAACATGTTTACGAACATAAAAATAATAAACCGGATATAAAATCTGAGGAATAATATAAATGAGCTTATTTTATGGGCATGATAAAACAGATATTAATGTAAATATACAAGGACCTGTAGATAAAACACATCTATCAGATAACCACTACACTAAAACTCAAGTTAATAATAAATTTAATGACTACTATACTAAAACGCAAGCTGATAATAAATATGCTTTGACTTCTAATTTAAATAAATATTATACTAAAACACAAGCTGATAATAAATATGTTTTTGTTTCAAGATTAGCCAACTATTATACAAAGAATGAAACAAATGGTAAGTATGCTTTAAGTTCTAATTTAAATAAATATTATACAAAGAATGAAACAGATGGTAAGTATGCTTTGACTTCTAATTTAAATAACTATTATACTAAAACACAAGCTGATGGTAAGTATGCTTTGACTTCTAATTTAACTAACTATTATACTAAAACACAAGCTGATGGTAAGTATGCTTTGAATTCTAATTTAAATAACTATTATACTAAAACACAAGCTGATGGTAAGTATGCTTTGACTTCTAATTTAACTAACTATTATACAAAGAATGAGATTGATAGCAGAGTAAATGGTAAAGTAGTACACCATAGCAATCAATTAAATTATAAAAATTTTAATACCCGACAAGATATTATCAGAATTTATTTTAATAATGTTAAATTTATTGAATTTACACTTTTATTAATAAATCCGTCTGATAACTCTAAAACAATTGAATTAGATATGATGGCAGATAAGATTAAAAAAAAATTTATCATTAAAGTAACAAATGATAATGAAAAAAAGATAGTTAATGCATTACTAGATTTATATCACGTATACTGTGTTGATGATGATTCAACATATATTTATATTATTATTGAACCAACAAAATCATCAGTTTCACTAGGTTATGACGAATGGAAAAGAAAATGGCTGGCAGCATTTAATGGATTAACCAAAATTCAAGTTTATTCACAACATCAATCTACATTATCTATGTCATTTAATGGTTTTCACAAAATTTTAGGGCTACTATAGAAGATAATATTCTATCAACTAAAAAATTTGTAAATGATGAAATCGAAAAATTAAAAAAATTTATTAAAAATAACTATCAAGCTAAAACTTAAGATGAAGAATAATCCTCATGTTTGACTACATATCACATAACTGTTTGTAACAAGTAATTAATAAAAACGGTCTACCGCATATATACCTTTTATAATAACTGTTTCTGGAGGTAGTTTATAAAAATTAAATTATTAACACTTGATTATTAACACTTGATTATTAACACTTGATTATTAAAGACGGTTTTTTGAAGAGCATTGTTTAAGCCTCTGTTATTCTCGAATATTCTTCGAATATTCTTCGAATCTACGGGGGGAACCCCGAATTTTCACTTCGTGAAAATTTTCCCCACCTGGGTTCCAGAATTCTCGGGGACTCCATTCCCCTGCTCGATCACTTCGTGATCTGTGCTGCCGAGTCCCCTCCGAACCGATGCTTGTTAACATTTGTTTGTAAAGACCGTTTTAAAACATATAGATTCCATATTTTTAAACGATTAATTGTAACCTCGAGATTTTACCCCTTTGAAACAATGACTATTTTTACACAGCTTTTTACCCTTTTACCAGAGGGACGTCTTTGAACCATGGTCTTATTTTATGTTGTTATAAAGATAGTTTTTACCCAAGGTTATATGTAGTATAGTACATGGGGCGTATGGGATAAAAAAAAGTAAACTTTTTTTGATCCCCTACCCCCATGTACTATACTACTATCAAATGGTCTTTTTCGAAAAGCAGCGAGGATGCCTTTTGTAACAGCCATAAAGATGGCAAGACTAACAAAAGCAATGTTCAAAGGTGGTCTTCTTCCAACAACAGCAAAGATGTTTATCCAACAATCATAAAGATTGCAAGATTAATAAAAGCAATGTTCAAAGGTGATCTTCTTCCAACAACAGCAAAGATGTTTATCCAATAATCGTAAAGTTGGCAAGATTAATAAAAACAATGTTCAAAGGTGATCTTCTTCCAACAGCAACAAAGATGTTTATCCAACAATGGTAAAGATGGCAAGATTAATAAAAGCAATGTTCAAAGGTGGTCCTCTAAAAACAAAGTAACAAAATGATTTTTGGTGGATGGGATTTTTTGATCTACCAAATAAGAAGGTGGCATCGCAGCACAACGAAAGATATGGACATAGTCAATTGCACTCCCATCAACAAAATCTCTTGGATATATTGTACAATTGAACATTTTAGCCAACGAATCCCAATTTCCTTTCACTTCAGCATCATTAGTAATTGGGTAGTATGACTGAATAGCACACTGGATTACTGTGGACAAAGCAAACATACACATCAAGGGTGAAAAGGTGTAATTATTCGCTCTTTCCACTGCTTCTTGTAAAACTGCTGCAATTTCATTCGCATTTTCTAAAGAGGTTAGAGCTGCATTGCATATACACATGGGAAAGGCATTTTTAAGTGAAGTGAACGCACCATTTTTATGCTGGGACTCGATGAGAGGATAGGTAGATTAGTATTTTGCATTCTCAAACATTTCAACACTAGTTAGGAATCTCAAGTAAATAGAGAGAGTCTCATTCCCAACTAATGCAATAGAACATGCATTGAACAGAAAATTCCCATTGGCTAAAGTACTAAAAGAAAAATTAGTATTTAAGTATCAATGGCTGCTTTGTTATACCAAGCTATACCTGGAAACAAATCTGCTAGACTGACTCTGACATTAGAATAAATAAGGGTAACCAATACTGTTAAAGATAGACTAATAATATTGAAATTGGGAAAGCTATTTTCTCTTTGTGTTAATTTGGTAACATAATGATAAAGTCAAAGTCACAGGCAGGTAGTCTAAGATTTGGAACTAGTCTAGGCATGTCGAACAGGATTCAGACGACTTATTGATTCCATCTACTATAGCATCAATATTCTATATAAATCGCGAAAGAAAGTAACAGTTATTCAAAATGATATGTTAGTTTCTTTAACCAGGGGGATAACATAAAATGCCAGGAATACAAGGATAATACATTATTGATTGGGTCAAATTTTAAAAAAGACTAGCTTTGACTAATATTGAAGTAAAACATTTTATTTAACAGACAGTAACAATTAAAATTATTTAGGCCGTACATTAGACAGACTGAGTATGCAAAATAATGACAGCTTTAGACATATATTTTACATGATACACTAAATATGAATAGCTGAAAATTAACGGATTGATCATATATTTCAGGCCAAGATGTCAAACGTAAATAAAAATATAAATTTATACCCCAATACATGTAAATTCTTACCTAACAGGGACATTGGGTCCTGATCTTTCAATTTGGCTTTCAGGGAACTGCAGTTTTGAAAATGAACAAGTTCGTAGCATAATATCGCCAGTAGAATTTATACGACGAAGCCTTTCCTCGTTGATTATTTTAACACAGTGTTGTCTCAAGTTAGACAATTCACCAGAAATAATTTCGCAAGCGTTCTCTTGCTGAAAGGTTTGGACGAGCTTTTCAAGAACATCGATCTTTTTAGAAGTTTCCATTGATCCTAATCGCTGAGTAGAACCAGATGTAGCGTTTTTCAAGTCGACAAGAATCGAGCAATTTCATATGACTTGTATTTATTGCGCAATCAAAATACATTCACCGTGGCTCACCGTGGCGCACATGACCAAAACGTTCCCTGTGATTGGCTTGCAACGCTGCACCGTGGCTAAAGGTTACTATATTTAGCAACTATTGCGAAATTTTTTGAACGCTGACCGTGGCTCTTCATTCTGAGATTGCTGGCTCGAATTTACGAACATATTCCGAGCATATTCACGGCGTATTCGGCAAGATTCGAGACGCTTTCGGTGATTTTACAGTTCAGAGTTTAACTAGGTGATAATACTATTTTAACAAGACGTTTAATTTGAAGTTTTTGTTCTGTTAACACAAATTTTTGACAAAAAATTACAAAATTCATTCAATTTTTGCTTTTGATCGAATTTTGCTGTATTTGAGCAAAATTTTTAATCATGAAAAAGTCAACCCTGGAAAAACTTAAGTGGCAGAATTCTGACCGTGGCTCAAGCCACTTTCGCCATGGCCTAGATCCGCCCCTGTGTGCAAGATTAGTAAGTTGATCTCATATCTTTAGAACAAGAGCTTACTGTCGGAAAGGTAGACTAATAGCACAAAAAACGCTAGACAGCTTGCAATGACGCCCAGAAACTCCAAACGAAGTATCTTCAAATCAAAATTAGCTAAAAATGTCTCATCATTACCTGATAATCGATTCTATTCTATGAGTAACATACTAAAAGTATCAAGATCATATGCATAGGGAGTGAGTGAGTGAGTGAATGAGTGAGTGAGTGAGTGAGTGAGTGAGTGAGTGAGTGAGTCTGTCAGTCGGTCAGTCAGTGAGTCAGTCACTGACTCACTGACTCACTGACTCAATGACTGATATTAAGCTTTGTGTTGTGTAGAGATGATGATGAAGCTGATCCAATTTTAGAAAAACGTTCACCTCGTTGACGCAGACGTCGTTCCCTTTTCTCTTGTTATCATTAACGTTCGTATACCAGTTGTCATCACTCTCGTTTTCATAGCAGATGTTGTCTCATTGCTTCATATCGCTGTTGTTATCGCATTGGTCTCTATCGCCGTTTTTTTCGCCCTTATTTATGTCGCCGTTGTTATCGTATTCCTTTCCATTTGTACGGATAGAGTACCGGCTATAAGATACATTTTTCATGTAATTTTTCATATAAACATGTAACTTAAATTCACGTTTGTTTATGTATTCTCTGTAGGATATTAAATGTTTGCAATAATTAGTTGCCGCCGTTTCTCTTGTCTTTTTTTAATCAACGTTGAATAATAATGTATGATGACGTAGGGCAGATTATCATTAACATGTTCCAATAAAATAGATTATTTTTAAATGGATGAAGAGGGATGGTATAAAGGGATAGGATCGATATGCTACAAATAAGATATCTGAAAATCCGTACACAGTGTACTTGATCTTCTTTCACTTTCTTAATGGTACAATGCAAACATTTTTGTGTCCATTTACGAAAATAAGAGTGCAAGAAACGAATTTTCCAAAGAAATGTGTAATAAGTTTGTGAAAAAATTTTATTGTAGGAGCAACAGTTTCGGCAAATTTTCTTTTGATTGCAAGCTATGAATTGCTGTTAATTAAATTTTTTTCAGGATATTTGATTGTTTAAAATAACGCAAGTCAGGAATTATTTCATCAGTTATCACTACATTTTTCCATGGTTTAAATGTGGACAGTTGATAATAGGCCTATTTGTGACTGCTAGGTAAACCCAATGAATACCTGATTTATTACGCAAAAAATGTGTTACAATACAAAATTTTTCATGGCAAATTTCAGGGTTTTCTTTAGTAAGTAAGGATCTATGTTTGATTTATATTTTGGGGCAAGCGTGTTGGCATGAAGAAAAAAAGGAAAATTACAGTGTTTTCATGGTGAATAAAAAATTTTAAAATACGATGCTTTTCAAACACTGAATAAGTTTTTAAATATTACTATACTCTTCATTGTGATAAGAGAGAAATATATTTGTTGGGTGAACTATAATGTGTGTTTTCCATTAATGTTTTCAACTGCTTGACCTTTGTCGAGTATTCGTGCATAAGATACATTTGTCCTTACTTTCTTTATAAGCATGAGCAGAAACACAGGATTACAAAAACTCTCCATTTTTCTTATCTTATGCTTGTGTTTATTGCTAATAAAGGCAAAATTCTAATCCTTGTATGTAAGATCCTCACTTGTGACAAAAGAGAATCTATAATCTAAGTTCCAATGTTTCATTCGAAATGAAATGAAATTTTTTGACATTTATATTGACCATTATTCATAAACCATTAACAGCCAGTGCGCAATGTATAGGGCCCAAAAGCACGAATAACACACTAAAGACAAAAGGAATGAACTTTCAATAAGTTCCAAAGAAATCAGAGAAGATATAGCATCTTTTCCTCTTAATTCAAAGCAAAAAACTTTGATATGAATTGTAAACCTAAGTGTTTGCTAAATGCAAAAAGGAGGTCACACTACCTGCGTCATTTGACTAAAAGTGAGCAAAAATTTTTATTTTAAATTAAACACTTTATAAATGTTTTATTAAATCAATAATAAATTTATGTTATGCTTTGAGCTCTGTTTGTTATTCTGTTCTTTGTTTTTGTGGTCAATTATGATAGAGTCTAGCCTCATGTACAAAAACACTATGGGATTGCTGGCAATGTAATCTAGAGTAGCCTGAGCCCAAAGGAAGAAATTTTTGTTGTAGTTGATTAACATGAGCGTATGGAGGGGTTGGGGCACAAAAGGGAAGCCTCTCCCCCCCGAAGCTTAGCCGTTCGGGCATTTGGGCTTAATATCATGTGTCGTTTACGTCAATTCTATTACGTCATTAGTTATAGTCGTTACGTAGTTTTAGGAGACTTCAGAGCAGACATTGTACTAATATTTGGAATTACCAGCCAACAAACAAGCGATTATAAAATTGCAGAGGAAATAACTAAAACATGAATAAATCAGACAAGTGAATACAGACACTCATTAGGTCAAGATCTCTAAAATAGCGTTCCCAAAATTAAAATTATGTCAATTGAAATGAATCTGTGGCACACATTATATCTTTTGCATTAAAGTTTTTTGAAACAAGAGGAGAAGATGAAGCCGCCCTTGTACTATAACTTGTATAAATAGATGCATGTGTCAGTATCAGCATCTGTCATAAAACGTTTAACACATTGTGAAGTATTTTCAGTGTATATAAGTCAGTGTGGCTTTATAAAACTGATAAAAGTTGTTTATTGTCACCACGTAGTGGGGCCGTACGTTTTAAACATTTTAAAACAAGAGTGACTACACATAATCTTCTATCGGCCGAATAGGCTAAAAATGTTAATGGTTGTCGATGAGTACCAGGTCTCGAATGTGTGAGTTGTTCTGTTACAACAAAAGTACCTTTGGACTCTTCAATTACTACAATAACTGACTATATGATCAATACATAATTTATTAATCGTTTTGCAAGTTTGGCCCCTTATGAGTAACGGGAGGAAAGCAAGTCTGTGAGAGAGTTCTTTGAGGGAGTGTGATACTGGAGTTCCCAGAGGGCGGAGATAATTAAATGCAACGTCAACATCCCATTAAATGAAGATATGATCCTCGCACTCTGCTGGACAATTTAAGCAAAAGTCTGATGAACCTGAAAAATTCAGGTGACTCAACGGGATCCCGTGTCGAGCAATATTTTGGTTTTGATGGCCGAGTTTCGTGTATACCTTTCATAAATCGTTTGATATATAGCCCTAGTCTGCATGGCGTATTGTTAATTTCCCATGTAAGGATTGAATATAAAGCACTTCAGGCCGTATTGATTGAACTTTATGATACTCCTGACTTATATAAGTTTGATAGAAAAGTGAAAGCCATGGGCAAAGAGGGGATACGATATCGCAATCATTAGTACGACAAAATTCCAACCATTTTTTTAGCTGTTGACTGGTATTGCGTTTTTGTGCCATGACGCTATGAGTTTAGAATAATGTTTACTGTCTCCGAAGAAAATCTTTTTCCTTGTAGTTTACCCTGGGTACAAGACAGTTAAGAATGTTCACTTTCTTTGTGTTATGGGTGTTTGAGATTGGGTTAAATAGAAAGAATCAGTAAGTCGGTTTTCGGTGGTAGACGTCGAGGCGGTTTCTCTAATATTTGTACCAACAATGGGTACCAACACCGAGTTGGCCAGTCCAGAAAAAATTTAAATTACCCTGTCCTTTTCCTCTATTATCTTGCGGAAGAATGGCATGTGAGTAAGGATCTGGTCTATAAGAAATGTAGCGACCAAATTGACGATTTAAGCGAGATGCCAACAGATCAATGTCAGGAAGGAAGGCAAAATGCGTCAGAGTTGAGGACATGTACTTCGGATTAAGCCTCAATTCAGGGTCAATATTTTTATTGCGATTCTTAATCGGCGATCACATTCTGCCTCTATGGTATAAACGCAGCCGTTAACCACATATTATTTTTTTCACATAATAACCAAGTGCTACCGGTGTGTGTGCCTTTATCAATCATAGTTTTTACAACTTTGTAAGCATGAAAACAATGAAAAATTTATAAACCAAAATAGGCAGATAGAAATTTCAGATAGTTCATATGCTTCGACTTTTCCTCGTTAGTCCAGAATCGACCAGTTCTTTGGTTCCACAATACACCACCCAACCCAGAAAGTGATGCATCTGAGTGAGCTACTACATCTATAGCTGGAGTATGAACGAAATTATTTGCATAAAGTAGTGATGAACGTAGCTCATTTAATTCGTCAACTGATTGAGATGATAAAGCCATGCACACATCAAAATTCCCTCGAGATTGTTTCAGCGCAAGTATTTTGTCATTTTGAATTTATCTGTAATGGCACTCGCCACCAGGAAAACAAGAAACTAGCAAGCCATTTATTTGAGGAAACTCGCGTATGATGCATTTTGAGTTTAAAAGAGCACTAATTCGAGAAGTGATTTTGGAAATTTTTTCCGAAGTTGATTGCATTTTCATAGTTGTCGAATCTAACTCAAATCCCAAAAACACAGTTTTATCTTGCAAGATAAAGGAAGATTTTTCTACGTGAATGACAAAACATAAACTTGAAAACAAGTCAATAGCCTCTATTTTCGTTGTAAAATAGCGAGGAAAGTTATTTACCTGTAAATCTATTGACGAGTATGTTTTCTGATTT